CAGCTGCCCCCCCTGCCCCCCCGGAGGCTACGGCCCTGTATTGTGTATCAGGGATCGCAAATATCCTGGCATAAATGGAGGCAACCATGGCCTTTATGAACTATTTTATTGTAAAATGTACGTCCGTATGTCTGTTTTCAGGCTGGTCTCCTCGTTCTATACTGTGCGGTAGTTTATGCAGTACTCACAAGGAGGCGTAACAGGTCCGAATACAGCAGCATTGAAAGTGATAATGCCAGTAACAGTGACACACAAAACGCCGAGGAAACATTGCTACTGCCGCCAACCCCTTGCCCGATCATACAGAGTCAATACGTGCAGCCAGAAAAATATATGACTAATGATGACGCCAGTTCTAAGTAGAATTGGGGATTGTAATTCGACTTTTAGTCCAAGGTTCAATCTCGTGCCTTCAATACACGAACCTTAATATATCCAAAATTCGCTGGGGACGTGCGATCTTAAAATCCGTGCGTCCTGTGGTGATCGAGACTATAAAGAGAGTCCCGGCTGCTATACTACCTAGCGGTCAGTGAATAAAAACTCACGTCATGATGATGAAGGCCTAGAAGTCCAAGTTGGCCACAAGCTTATGGTATGGAAAATATTTCAGCTCGTGTTAAATAATAACTGTGCATGAACATTTAAGCGAAACTGATTATATTTATCAAAGGCTATTTGTCAGTGAGGATTGACATGCAGCCGAAAGTGGGCGGTCTTGGAAGATCGGACGCCAAGCTGGGAGATTAAAGGCCCCGTTCCGATAACCTTATCGTGCTAGCTGGATCGACCTAAACTTCTCAGGGATTGCGGCTAAATTGTATTCAGTTTAAGCGGCTTAAATGTCTGACACGCTCCCTTGTAACTTAATGTACTTGGGTAAAGTCGGGGAAACTATGCCCCATCATCTTGTTCATGTTGCTTTGCGAGGGGGTGCGCCTGACAATACAGCAGATTACATAGATTGCGTCTTAGCGAGAATCCCCGCTGAGATTGATCCATCCCGCTAGTACGATAAGGTTATGGGAACACAGTCTAAGAGTAATTTGAATTGCAGGTCATAGAGTCCAAATTACACTGAAAATAAATCATGAAAACACACACCAATAAAACTGATGACTTTAGATGTAAATCAAATGGATTTTACTTCCACTGCTCCCATTTACGCGCCGGGAATTTCGTCTTAGAAATCAATACAAAAGAAACACAAAAAACGTGACTAATGTGCGCATTTGGTGCAGTATCATGACACGAAGACTCTTTGTCTACAGTGGGTGGTAAACACTGGAGCTCTCACTCTCTATGTATATTTAATAAAAGAATAAATAAAAGCTGAAATTTAATGAGAACGAAATGGAATGTTTTTTTAAATAATTGACCTTGACCTCTGAAGACTTCTGAAATATAGCCAATATATAATGTCCATGTGTTTTATTAATTTATTTATTTATTTGTGTTTGTTTATTTTTATCTATTTATTTATTTTTTGAAAACAGCACCTACATATAAACCATCTTTCTTTGCACTAAGAACGACCAAAATTCTGGAGGAAACCTTTTATCACACTTGGTGCTTACTATTATTTTTTCATTATGTTCATTCCACAATAATTCACCACAGTTTGCTGTAAGATTCTACACGTGTACAGATCTATACATCAACACTGAGAATAGTCTTAGGTGAAATCTTATCATCTATGTCTGTACTGTCACCGTGATATGCCTAATAACATGCTGTGTATTTATCCGACGTCATTTTATTATTATTATTATTATTTTATTATAATTATTATTATTATTATTATCAATTTTTAAAGGGCCCTTGATGCACCAAAATCAAATGATAAACATTCGTTTCATTTTAATCCTGAATATGGAAAAAAATAATAAACGTACTTTATGTTCATATGTATGTTTCTTATAATGAGGTATTTGCATACTGTATTATAAAAGTCGACTCTTTTTGGTCAGTTAACGGTCCGCGACGTCCAGCTAGGAGGGTTCGGACTGCCGTTCTTTGTGTCGGGACTGGTGACGATCATCACAGCAACTGTAGCTTTTTTTTTTACTTTACCAACCGAGAAAAAAGAGCAATCTAATTTGCCACACTTAGTATTTGATGAGCTGCCTGTTGATTTATTGAAACTTTTGCCGCTTCGACAAGATAGCGCCAGTTCTTAATCCAAATTACAGTTAAATACGTACCTGAGCATTGAAGAAAACAAATGGCCAAGTTCTGAAAGTGGGTAAAAAGATAATAATGTCATAAACTTGTGTGAGACTGCATGTAGCAAGTTTCAGTGGTCATGGAATGAGAGAGAGTCAAATGGGGAAGGCGGTGATTAAAGTTAAAATGAAAGGCAGGTAAAACAGGAAAGGGGGAGAAAATATTGGACAGAGTAATAGACAGATGACGCATATGTTGTCTCGAAAGCTGCTAAGATTGAAGGGAATATAAAGACAGATGGAGGAGCATAATCGCCTTCGACAGTCGACAGGGAGTTATGAATATTGCATGCTAAGAACCACTTCATTCTTCATATTTACCTGTACATGCAAACGTGGTGTTTTTTTCCTCTCTAAAACCAGCTAGAATACCCGCATTTCTTTTCATATTTTTACTAATATGTTGAGTACAAGAGTAGCTTTTGTCTTATGATATTTATCAAAATTGCTAGGGCAGAAATGGTGTTTCTGAAATATAAGCTGTAGCTCCCACTCTATGACATTTTGATTATGATGGATAACCGCGTCCACACTTTGGCCAAAAAGATAGCTGTTGGAGATCAATTTCTTTATGTCACATATTATCTGAATAATGCATATATAATTCATTATAAATTTGTGACTGTAATTTCTGTCCCACTTAACCATTGCGAGGAGTATGGATTTGTAATGCAGTATGATCGGTATGATACCCGTATACCTGTAATGTAACCAATTACCCTTCCAAAGTTGGCAATTCTACTCTGACATTATAATTTAGATTAATCAGTAAAAGCATAAGGTGTCTGCCCTTCATACCTTGGTGAACAATCGGTTTGATCCAAATTAGACCTAAGTCGCAACGTCTCGTGTCCAGGCATTGTAGTTTTTTTTTTTTTTTTTTTTTTTTTTTGGGGGGGGGGGGACTGTCGGGTACCCCACTTACATCGCATGCATTACAAATAGCATCTATAGGACACTGCAAGACCACTCAATATTTAGGGTAATAGTGAATAGTAAAAGAAAATAACAAAAAAAAACACAGACGCTACAGAAATTGATACACATTACTGGCCAATGTTGTCGTTGTACGAAGGTAATTCTACAATAGGTACAGTATAGTAAATATTGTTAGGTTGCTTTTATCAATAGGATAACAGTGTAAGCTTTCCTCAAGGTCCAGACTCAAACTTAAAATATTACACGCCATATGTCATTAAACATATCTGACCTCCTGCCCCGTGAATTTGTCATTTGTCATAGCTTGCCAAGCTAGGTAAATACAATGGCCGGAGGAATGTTACCCTTCAGTTCGCTTATGATGTGGTTTTGTGTGCGGGGGTGGGGCAATAATATCCAGACAGGATCAATTTTTTTGGATCCGAGAATGACCCAAGATAAGAGGCATCTTTGCTTTTCTTTCAAAACAGAGATAAATTCCCAATATTCTTGTCCTGACCCAAAGAGGAGCTTTGGGCCGTTTGCCATTCTAACCATAGTACTAAAAATACAAATGTACAAAAGGACAAAAATACCATTACCCTCTGCAAAATATCTGTTGTATTTGAAGAGGATTAAATTAAAGCGTCGCACGGACATAAGGGACGACTCAAACCGAGAGAGACTAGTACCCTACTTGCATCGTACACATTAAAGATAGCATCTACAGGACACAGCAAGACCACTCAATCGAGTTACATAGCCCTGCTCAGTTAAGCAAGAAAATGGCATCAAAGGAAGTACGCGGTATTTGACTATTGGATAGAGGTGGAAAATAGATGCGAAGAGATCGAGGGAAGAAAGCGTGAGGCCATGAAGTTTCTCAATTTGAGTTCCCGGCAGAAATCTACCTTAATTAACGGTGCAATTGCCAACATTGTTATATCCGTGTGCTACACTCTTGTGATGCCATTTCTCCAAGACGTGGTGAGTGAATAGTGAATGGTTCTTTTGGTTAATAGCGACTCATCTTCTTCAAAAGACGTAATATATTTTAGTGAAGGGAATGGATCTTCTGAGATAGATTTAATCTTTGTTGTCGCCACAAAAACAAAATTTTGAGAGAATGGAAAACAAGTGGGGATAACCTTTAAATGTGAGACAATGCACTGTCATCCAAGGTACATGCTAAATGTAATTACAAGTTCAAGGTGGGGGGGAATATATTTTTGTTTTTTACCGAAAGGCCTATTTTTGATAAAGAAGAAGAATGAACAGTTTAAAAACAAACTAACTAGATGGTGTCGATTGGTAGCCATCGCATATCCCCGCACTTCCCAATATTATCAAGAGCAGCTCACCCCTAGGGACCACTCACCACACACGCACGTACACACGCACGTACGCACACACATACACACAAATCTCTGCTTCACCCAAAGGTATTTAAAAATATAAATGTAAAAAAAATCTACAATGTTAAAAGAATTTAGAATCAACCAACCCCCAGGGACAGCCCAACCCCCTGTTGCACTAAAATTCTTAAGTGCCCATGCACCTCCCTGATGATGGGTTTACAAATCACTAAAGTTTCAACTTCCTAACTCTAACGGTCCAGGAGGAAATAGCAGAAATTACAATGTCATAAAAATTTAGAATCAACCACCCCCGGAGACAGCCCAACACCCTGTGGCACTAAAATTCCAAATTGCCCATGCACATCCCTGAAGAAGGGTCTACCCTTTCCCAAAGTTTCAACTTCCTAACGCTAACGGTCTAGGGCGGTGGCAAAAATTACAATGCCATAAGAATTTAGAATCACCCCCCCCCCCCCCCAGGGAAGCAGCCTAACCCCCTGTGGCACTAAAATTCCAAAGTTCCCATGCACCTCCCTGGTTATGGGTATACTCATTACCAGAGTTTCAACTTCCTAACTCTAATGGTGCAGGAGGAGATAGCAGAAATTACAATGTCTGAAGAATTTAGAATTAACCACCCCCCGGGGACAGCCCAACACCCTGTGGCACTAAAATTCCAAAATGCCCATGCACATCCCTGAAGATAGGTCTACCAATTACCAAAATTTCAACTTCCTACCTGCAATGGTCTAGGAGCAGATAGCAGAAATTACAATGCCATAAGAATTTAGAATCAACCACTTTCCAGGGTACAGCCCAACCCTCTGTTGCACTTAAATTCTTAAGTGCCCATGCACCTCGC